AACCAGACAATAAAAATAAAAAAAAAAAAAAAAGAGAAGTTTGATTGCCCGAGAATGATCACACTTACATTGTGTATCAAAAGGCACACTGGTCTTACACCCAAAACTCTAAAATAACCTCCAATTTTCAATTAAATCAGCCTGTAGCTTCCCTCCATCTCACTGAAATCGGGGGATCTCAGGTTGTGCTATATGAAGAAATGATCTAAAGAGAGTTAAATAGGACAAAAACAATTCAACAGTCCCTAAAATTTCAAAGTGAATTAACCATCTCAAAAGCCAGTCAGGCTACGTTTGTAGTAGTAAAATAAACTGTATCAGGGAAAGTTTTCAAGTGATAGAATTCCATCAACTTTGATCTTAAATAAATGCCCCCTGGCATGGTTTTGTCCCAGGCCAACAAGCATTATCCCATACAATTTTGGGGCATGGTTCAGAATTTAACACAGGCCAAGGCAATTTAGCAATAGGCAGTTTGCATGTGGTCACTCCATACTGCAAACTAGATTTTAATAATATGGACATGGGCCATTTTGTGCCAGCTGACCCCAAAGAACAATCCCAAGTATTTTTTAATTTACTAGTATAGATATAACCTCAAAAGCCTTAAGCAGCATTCAGCCCACACCCACAATATGTTTGATTATTGAAAATGCAAAGCTACACATCTCAGAAGAACGGCCCTTCACTCAAGTAGATATCCCATTCAGGAGAACATTCCTGACGTTATTTTTTTTCAGATAGCACTTAATCAGACCCACCGCCTAAAGGGGCAATACTGTTAATCTCTCAGACATGACTGAGAAAAACTACTAAAGGGGCATAGCTTAGTCTTGCTAAAATATCTGCTTTCTGAGAGTTATTGAACAGAAAAATTAAGCCTCTATTCCTGCTACTGTGAAGCCTCAATACTTTTAGGATCCTGTTCTCTAACAGCATCATTAACAAATTCACTGTTCCAACTGTAGAATTTTTATTACTCATAACTAGGTAGGAAGTAGAAAAACACAGCATGACTTCCTAAACTAAATTTACAAAGTTAAAGTTTTTTTTCTTGCAGATAAACTGAAAGAAAAAAAAAAAAGAAAACTGATGAAATCTGATATGAAAATGCTGAGATCAACTATCTATATAAAACTTAAAGCTGACAGCCTGATAGGGTAATCTTCAGAAAATTGCTACACTTTCAGAACAAGAATATCAGCTAAGTAAAACAACATAGTTCCACTTATTTCAGAAAACCTATGGTGATTTACACTTGGGACTTCAGCATTTTCTCAGATTTGTATTAGCTTACCCCATTCTCCCATATGCTTTGCTGTACTTCGGATCTATTGCTATGGCGCTCTCACAATCCTTTATTGCTTCAATGTAGTTGTTGAGCTTACTTTGAGCAGCAGCCCTAAGAGGAAGAGGGGAGGGAAGGGACAGAGCTTTGTAAAAAAATCCCCACCAATAACAGCAAAAAAACACCCAAACAAAAACCAGCTTAGATATTCACATGTCCATGACTACCTTTAGACTTGTTTAATCTTACTGACTTTTCATTCACTATTTAGGCAATGCCTCAGCTTTCCTCAATTAAGCAGGACAAGCAAATGTTCTGAATTAAGTATGTGCATAAGTGCATTGCTAGATTAGGGCTTTGGAGAACACACACTCACCTTTGAAAACATAAAGGATAAATAATTCTAAGGAACTGTTTTAGATCCAGCATAAGACTATGCACAAAATACATCACAAAATCTATTACAAGAAGTGAAACTCTCAAGTAGTAGTTTAAATAGAAGTATTTTATACAATTGCGCTTTTCCAGTAAGAAGTATAGTTTTACTGCCACTCAAAGGAATGCTGTGATTTATTTCTCAATAATCTCTGAATTACTAAACTAAAATTGCATCTCTATACCAGAGAAATAATAGATGTTGTGGACATTTATACAATAAGACTAAAGACTTGCCCAAATTAAAAAGGACATTGGAACAGATTAGTATTCAAAATTTTACCTGCTTAAAAGGCCTCAAAACACTCTAATTTGTTCTTCCTTGATTAAAAAACTTTTCACTGCATAAAGCATTCTTCATTTTTATTAGGAATGCTAGATGCTACAATCCATCACTGTATTCAATCCTTTCTCCTGTTATAACCTCCAAATTGCATGTTTTTTTCTGAATTTGATTAAAATCTCTTCTGAATGGGACTACTTGTATCTTTTAAATAGTCAGGCTACTTAACAGCTGTCCAACTCCGCAGATACCAGTGAAGATGTATGGATAAAAATTGGGGACAATGCTTAGTCTCGTATGTGTTTGAACAGAAAATGTTTTTTCCATGTTTACAAAAAAATTACATGGCCAGTTAAAACTTCAAGGGCATCTTAGCTCTCTCTTTTTTTTCCACTGCTGCAAGTAAAAAGCAATACTGTTGAAGGCAATAATTCTCCATTGCTTCTATACTAGCTGAAGTAAGATAAGAATAAGGCTTATGTTTCTTCAGATACCACATCACCCTCAAAACTCCAAGCAACTGCCTGTCTTCTTTTAAATAACTTTGTACAATACTGTGCTCACTAACATCAAGATTCATTTTGGTCCTCACAAATGTAATATGTCATGATGTAGCACACAGCGAAATATTTCCACTCTTTTGCCAATTACAGATTTGGTGCTTAAGCCCATTCAGTGATTTTGGGAGGCTTTTGAATCAGGACTTATATTACCATTTGATACCTAAAATCACATATGTGGTCAGTTTTCTCAAGGAAAATAGATGATATACACTTTGAACTACTGTCTTAAAAGGTGTAAAATATTAGCAAACTGTGCATTCCCTTTCTCTTTATGCTTGCCACAAAACACTAAATCATTCACTTGTACTTATCACAAACTAAACTCTGAAGTAATGGAAGCGCAGCTCTAAAAATGGAAAAATCCACTGGGTACAGTGCCGCAAGGCCAGATTGACTGCACTTAAGTTAGTAAACCCTTCTGGTAACAGAGGCACTGAAAAGTGTAGAGCAGAGGGGCTCTAGAGGCAGGACAGTTCCAGTAGGGCTCATAGACTATACTGCCTTTGTTCTTATGCTGGTCTTCAGGGAAGTATACTGAAAGAGCATACTGCTGCTACTGGGATAATATGCCCTTCCAGACTTCCTCTGGTCCCATGTCAGTACTATGGTGAAGAATTGATTATACAATGAAACTACAACAGTCTTATTATTTTTTCAAAAGGTCATGCATAAAAATGCTGAGTATTTATACAATGCTTGAAATCTCCAAAATGGTATACCCACATTGATGATATTTTTTCCAGGGAAAGTCAATACTAGGGGAGATAGACATGGCAGCTAAGTCACTAGAACACTGGAAAAAAGGCTCTTACTACTCTCAACAGACTGGAAACCACAGCCTAAGTTATAATTTAATATAGACATCCTAACTCACAAAAAACTGATCTCAAAGTGTTACAAGTAATTTTAAAGCCCATATTACACCTTTAACTGATACAGATATGCTGAATTAGCTCACTTTTCCTTTAAATCTATTACAAATTTAACATGATAAATTTCTGAATTGTGGGGTTTTCTAGCCTCGTGTTGTTTTGATCTATTTCACAATTTATCTTTAAAATAATGTTCATGAAATTCAGGAATGAAAAGTGTATATTATTGTGTTTTTACCTGTTGCAGTAATAGACTGCATTGTTTGGATCCAGTTCTATAGCCCTAGTATAACAATCCACCGCAGCACCATAATTTTCTTCTTTCATGTGATTGTTACCTGAAATAAATTATAAAAAGCTCTTAAGTAGTTAAAAATATGGTGCTATGTTTGAAAGAAATAGAGCAGCCACATTATAGAATCTATATAAGGCAGTTATGACTGTACTTTTTTGAGATACATTCTTTTAAATGGAATTGGCATAGAATAATGCAAATAAAAATATCTACTATTTCTGTAAAGTTTATTATGTACATTGTAGTCCACCACATAATCCTTCCCCTTCTCATCTTGCTATTTCACACTTCCCAGATAGTTTCTGCTGTTAAGCAAAGATCACTTCGTTGAGAAGTGTAATTGCAATTTTTCGTGGTTTAACCCCAGT